ATTAACAAGTAGAAAATTAAGAGAAAGAGAATATTCATGAATATCTTTCCTTAATTAAATTTCTGTTATTGTTTGCCGAATTGCTCTGATGAGGGTTGATCAGAAAGGGGGGCAGGGAACCTTGAAGAGCTTGAAGAGCTGTTTGTTAAAGACTGTATCAAAGAAGCTCCAAAGATGGGTGCTTGAAATCTTTATAATAATATTTTCACTTGTTTTCTGGATTAATTCCAAGATTGGGTTCCCTTAAGAATAAGCACTTTACCGTGTGAAAATAATTCATGGAGTCTACAGATGAAATTTCCCATCGAAATGGCCAAAGGTTGCCATTTCCGTCTTCGAATTCGGTTACCGTAACGCTATCAAGAAATAGCAGCGTGGGTCAATTCGGTTTGATTCTTATAGGGGCTGGACCGCTCCTTGCGCGATTCGGCTCGGCCGACAAGCCGACAGTCGAGCATACAGCGTTGCAGGCTGCAGGGGTTACTTTTCACGGGGGTGGTTCTCGAGGGGTTTGACAACCCCTTGCCGCGACGGTGTCACCTAAGCGGACCCCTTGGATCGTTTCGTGTTCGAATTCTCGTTTTTACGAGGGCCAAGCTTACTTTTACGCGGAACTTGTGGAAGCTCCGTAGCATTTCTCCGAGGCCACGTGATTGCGTACCGATACTCTGTTCTAACGCGTTGGGGTTGTCTTTAAAATACACATATTTACGGTGGCCTTTGCAGTTCTCTCGTTTTGAGGGAAATCATTTTCAGATTTAAACAGGAAAACGAACTGTGCATTTTTAGCCAAACTAACGACGTGCAAGATATATGCAAAATATACAATACACTTATAAATAAGTATACGGGTATATATATCGTATCATATAAAAGAAAATGACGGAATAGATATGAAAATTATAAAGCTAAAATGGAAAATGGACAGTTGAGGCAAAACTATGCAAAGTATACGTTATTAATACGAGTTGTTATATCCATCGAGTTGAAATTAAAATTGCAGGTTCGAGGAAAATACGTTCAAAACTGTTTGTGTTCGATGTCCAGGTTTTCGGTTTATTATGCTGAATTTTTGTACGAAACTTCTCTGCCATTCAAATATACTTTCCGTAAATAGCTATAATTCTTTGTATATTCTCCATTGACAGAGCGAGGTTGAAACGGAAACAACGGATCAGGTTGAAAATAGTAACCGAGCGTTTACGAAAAAAGCGAAGCTCAGAAGTCATAATTCATTCTGAAATTACAGAATTTAACGGGCCGACTTCCGTCGACCTCCGTCGGCGACCAACGAGTTTTATCAGGTTTTTAATAACCAGTGCACGCAGCGGCATTCGTTATGCGCTTGCAACGTAAATCGGTTTAGTAGTCATTAGTCGCGCTATTTCGAACGGTTTGGAAACGACTAGAGAGAGACGTGGCACCTGTCACTTAGAGAACTGAACTCGTCGCGGGCATTAGCTAAGATTATAGCCGATAAATGCATACGGTCATAAAGATAGGAAAGCAGGTGAAAACCTTCGGACCAGTGGCAACCATTGCTCACTGTTCCATCGATTTTTATCGATGAATTTTCCAAACAAGCGGAAGCTACGCGTCGCGTTTAATGTTGCACCAGTGGAACGACGAATTTTATTCGCTGAAAACGATTGTCACATCGCTGGATTTTCGATGGAGCGACACTTTTGCATTAAACTCGTCGTTCTCTGCGTTATTTAGACATGCTTCCGGTACCCTCTGTTCAACTTATCGAAAGAATCTTCGATTCTTACAACTTGAACGATCATTATTCGTTTCTCGAATGAAAATTTTGGTAAATCCTCACCTTTTGAACCGATTGTTGTTGTGCACTTATGCGATAATTATATATTGCACTATAAGTTGGTAATTTTTATCGAAGAATTCCATTATCTTTAAAGCTAATTGCGCATAGAGTAATATAACGTATGCAAATGTATTTCATAACAGTAATAATTAAAGCCAGCGTGATAAAATCGAGATACCGAGGCGTGCATTTTTTCCGCTTATGTTTGTGAATTTTTTGCAGTGACGTAAATAACCGATAAACTTTGATAATACGGTAAACTCGCTGGGAAGCAGTCATTTTCCCCCGGGGAAATTGCTTTGTAATTCTGGCAGTTTGCAAAGAACGAAATGAAAACAAAAAATTTTACCATTTTTAGTGGTATAATATATACTTCTCTAATTATTCAAGTCGTTTTGTAAGCTTTTGCGTATTCACTTGTGTGAACTTTAACGGAAGGCAATGTATACGTAAGCATAATCAGTATACAGCTTTAAAAAAGAAGAGCGCCTCGAAAATCAACCTGACCGATTTAATCATGGCTAACAATAAGAAGGTATCGTCGAGTCGGTTCGTGACGTATCTCGAAGGTCGCGCGACCTGCGTCTCGGGATTTTGACTGGTGGCAAAAGGATTCGCCATATGGTTGACTACTTATCGTAAGATGTGCCACGAGAGCTGGGCATTCGATTCCCGAGAGCCAACGGTGGTTCGAGGAACGAGGCCCATTTATTTGGCGTGTGCTGTATAATTAGGCTTCGAGAGCGGGGCCTCAGCCGAGAGCTCATTGTTCTTTTTTCCCCTATTCCACAGCACGATGGAAAACGAGTTTCGAAAATATATTGCGGGGTCTCCGCGCGGTCGGCACGAAATTTCGAAACCGCTTCTTCTTCTGCGTCCAGTCGTGGCGCGCTTCCGGAAATACCTGGTCATCTGGATGGAGGATGGAACAATTCTCGGGTCAAGTTTTTTAATAGGTGCAACGGGAAAACGGTGACCGTTTCGGGCGAGTATACATCCGCGCTCCTTCGAAATTCTACCCCGGCGTCGCGTTGTGTCGTTTGCATGGAAAACTAACACGGAGGAGCACGGTCGAAATAGGGCTGTCGATTTTTTTCATTGTGCCGCCATATGTCGGGAATAAAGCTCGCTTCCGTAAAAAGGGAAGTCATTTAAATTTAGGTTGTTTACGGAATTTAAGAGGCCATCCCGCTCCCCCGAAACAGAGAGTAGTCCCGAAAAATTGTGAGTCCCTCTGAAGCCTTGCGGGCTTTTGTTTAGAAACTGAAATAATGCAAAATTACGCACCTCGAGTGCACGTGACGAAGACACATATATAATAATAATAATCGTAACAATAATAATTACCGCGGCTGTTTAATATACTAAACGGTAAGAACCGGGGTTAACGGGACTCATTGTAGTTGGAATTCTCGAGGAAAACGCGTGCACGCTCCATCTTCGAATAGGCAACCCCGTGAGCTAGAATACTTTCTATGCGTGCCTGGATTTCACGTAATTTTGGGTTTCTCCCAGTAAATGGTATCGCATTTCTTAGTGCGCTGCATCGGATTGGTGCATTGTCAACGGCGGGCCACCTAAGGGCCAGGGGTGGCAGTCAGGATCCCTTTCATCCCTCTTTCTTCACGGCAGCACGCGCGCTTTGCCGCTATAGAGGAGCTTTTTTTACCAGAAAGACAAGAAAAAAAAAATAACAGAAGGTAAGAGCGGAAGGGAGGGGGAGGGGGAGGTCGTGGCTCCTTCTGCCTCTCGTCCTCGTCGCTTTTAGGGACGCGTGGCGTGCACACGACGTCATTATTTCACGTTCACGGATGGAGCGATGGAAAATTTACGGCGGACTAGTTGCGCGGCGTTTCCAGAAAATGTCGCTCGCTCGGTGCCCATTAAGGTCTATTTAACGATCCTTTTCAATTTTCAGACGTCGAATGACTTCCATTAAGGGTGTTTCGACACACGATAGAAAGCTACTCAGACGCTACCCTTCCTTCGTCGCTTCTTCTAATTATATTGTACATACAAGCGGTGCCTGCGACATCCAAGTACCTTCTTGGAGACAAATGTGCCACTGGATGCTAAAACAGACAACAGACTTTTCAAAACGTGGTCAATATTCAAACATTCCATTTGGTTAGTATTCCGAACTTTTGTTAGATAAACCTTCTGCAACCCCACGCGACTCCAAAGTTCTGTTATCCACATTTCTGAAATCTGCTACTTCAGGTAGCAACGTAGCGGTCCAGAGAGACCTTCGAGTTTTCCGGAGTCTGACCTCGAAAATACATAGTCCTCCTACGGTGCTTCACGAAAAGGAACGCTCGCCGCGTAGGTCGAATTTCTTGATGCGACGGTTCATCCACAATAGGTCTGTAGCGCAAAGAGGGGACAGTGTCAGTCGAGGCCTCTCGCAATCAGAGATCGAGAGAGGTCTAGGTCACTCACCGTTTAGGGATTTCCAAAATATTAGGAATAAATCCTTTTTGTGTAGCAAGCTATACTCCTTAAAAACCATTAAAGACGTTTCCTTTTACTTTAGAATTTTCAGTTATTTTTTTCTGGAAAATAAAAATATCATAGCATTTCTGGAACGTAAGGATGTTGAATTATTTCAAATTTTTTAACGTTGGATTCGAGTTACCACGTTGGCCCATTTGGCAGCTACGAGCTATGCTAAATTTAACGCATTCTCGCAAACGATTGAAAGACCGCAAACTTTTCAAGTAACGTAGAAAATTTTCCATTTAATTATAAACACAAATGTAATTCGTGAAAAAAATTGATTACAAACGGTAAACGAATAATAGCTACGAACGAATGACAGAGAAGAAAACAATTTTTTTTCTTCATTCCAACATGTGCACTTTACGTCTGGCAGAAAAACATAGTTTTTCTTGCCTTTAAAATCTGCATGTTTGACTAGTTTTTTTCTGGCAGTGTAACTCAGCTCGTGGCTCGATTCAAAACGGTTCTTTGCGTTTAGAAGTGTCTATGGAAGGAAGAGGGAGTCCGTGCCACATACGGAGGCACTCGCTGAGAGGTTAAGGACAGAATTAACCCTTTTGTTGCGCAGAACTCGTTGCGGACAACGCTGTCTACGGAACGCTATAACGAGTCACGTTTATTATATCTGCGTTACAGAGAGCGAGAGCCACGTGCTGTCTTACCATTCTTCTTGCTAATTCGAGTAATTTATTAACACTGAAATAGAAAGATCATTCGACGAAGGTCGATGACGTTCGTTTCAACGCATTTCTATTCAAATGTTAATAAACTGCTGACATTACCAAGATGAATGATCCTCGTTTATATTCATGCTATTAAGATTACATTACAGTAAGATGTGCGGATACGTGATTTAACATCAGGGATGTCAGCTGTGTTTCCATACCACTCTATACTTTGCTTCGTACATCGACAATGGTTACGTAACGGCGTGAATTTGTATAAAAGAGCCTTGTGTAGGTAATCTGCATTTCATTCAAGATTAGATGCAAAACTGTTGGAATTAAAAAGACCAATTTTATTTTCAACAAAAATCTACAACAAGTGGTAGTCGATGCAATGATGAGGAATTAATGAAAAAAAAAAAAAAAAAAAAGAAAAAACCATATAGAACAGTATAAAATGTCTACACGCGTTTGTTGAACAAGACTTCCTGTGAACTAGCATAAAAACTATAGAGTTGTATTTCTAATCGGCTCAAAATGTAGCTACCGGTCATAAGATTCGCTAGTAGAACCACCGGTTAAGATTTCCCCAGACGACGACGGACAATCGAGTGAAATATGGCCACAGGAGACAAAAGTCTGTCGACACATCGAATCGATTGGTAAGAAGGACCGCGAGATAGCTCGGTGACGGACAGAAAAATTCGTAAAAGTTCTCTCTGTCCATGAATTTCACCGATCCATCCAGTCGGACTCGAATCCGCTGCATCTGCCACGTGCCCCCACATTATGGCATAATGTGTCACTGTGCCACGGGCATATCTCCCCTCTCTCTTGAACGATTTAACAACGCTGCCAGCCTCTCTTGTCTAACGCACACGTGCTCACGCGTGTGTGGAATCCTAGATTTTGGAAACTCGACGGTGGATTGAATGGCGCAGCTGAATGCAGGTCGTTGCAGCTCTCCGGCTACGGGATAGACGTACACATATATACACATAGAGACCGAGAGAGGCTGAAATAGAGGGAGGGATGGTGAGTGGGGCAGTTTTTCAGTATCTACCCTTTTTCACCTCCCTACCTCACTCGTCGGTGAACACTCTCGTTTTCTCTGTCTCTTTTTTCTTTTTTCTTTTTTCCAGTCGTTTTCCTGCAATACTGGGCGCGTCCGGTGATGCAAGATGCAACCTCGGATGAGTTGTGAAAATATTGACGCTTTGTTGGGCCGCGACAGTTTATTCGAGTTTTCGTTTCGCGGTACTTCGGGGAATATAATAGACTCTGGATTTCATTGACAGTGCCGAAGGGGACATCGATAAATCGATATCATTCTAGGAATCCATTAGAGCCGCGGCGATCGTCGATCGCGCGTGGATAATGGTCCGAAGGTATGAACGCGTTGACCAACGGACCGAGTGAAAACGATTGGACCTGTTGACCAGACGAACGAGTTGACTCGTCGCGTCGCATGAAAATGTCCGTGCAACGACTAAAATCAATTAACTCGTTAGTCGAAAATTTGTTTGCTTTGCTCTGCATTGCGCAAGACGAGTTAATTCGTCGCACGAAAATACTTCTGTGTTTAGCGACACAAATGCACCGTGAAAATTTCATTAAACTCATGGAAAAAAAAAAGAAAGTATATGATTCAATTTTCCGTGTAAACGTTATAAAAACGCGATATTTTCCAACATTTTATCGCTTACTTCTTTGTTTACCTGAAAATGAAGTGGATGCGAGACGAGCAAAATTCTGCTTTGTCTCAATTTTAATTACACGCGCGGGTCTCACGGAGAATTGACCCAGTTAACGAGTTAAAGCTTAAGGGTGCAGGATTGTTCGTAGTTGGCTCGCGCAGGGGTGGGGGTTTTAAGAGTAAAAAAAGCACGCAAACGATTAAACAGTGAGATTTTAATAATAAAAATATTTTGACAGACCAGTCAACTCGATGGAACATTTATTTAAACGAGTCGTGTGTGATTGCGAGAAAGGGGATTTGTTGGGCGGGAAGGGGTGATGAGTGACGGGGAGGAGAGGAGGAGGAGGATGGGCTGGAGGAATCGTAAAATTACAAGTAAACACCGTATGATACAAAGGATCTTTCTTCTTCTCGACTCTTATCCATGGTAGGATTTCGACATTGGCAGCGACGTAGTTATTAATAATGATAATAATATTAACTACAAGGTAGAGTACTATTATTAATTAAATTACTTAGAAAACGGTCTATATTCGTATTTGTACGCGCAATATCTCTTCGTAATACCCCGTTTTTTCTTTCTTTCCCTCTTATTTTTATTTTCTCTTTCTTATCTATTTAGGAATACTATTTAAAATCAGTCTTGTGGTTGAGATATATTAGGTGTCTGGTGAGGTAGTGTCAGTTTCATAGTATACATCGAGTGCCACTTGATTTTTGCTGTACACATTGCGTGCATCGCGCCTTGAATAATCACAAAGTAATCGTCGCGACGTACAGAGTATCGGGTCGGTTCGTAACATTCTGATTACTTTTATCTAATATCAATTTAACGCTAACTCTGAGTCAGATGTTTTTCCGTTTCAGACCCAATTTGTCGCCTCGTTCTGGTCGAGTCAAACTAAAATGAAACATCATCTTTCGAAGCAACGAAGATTCAGTTTATATCCGATTGTAAAGATTAAATAATATTTCATCCCGAAAGAAGTATTCTCAAAACGAACTAACAATATACACGATGGGACTTTTTAAAAAACAAATCAGCTTCGTACAATAAATAAAAATATGCACGAATATTCGACTCGACACTCTTTCCATCCTCGCGTTCCAATTTACAATCGTGTAGTCGGTGTGTCAGCGATCGAGGAGGAACAATAATCGATGTTTCGAACGGTACGCGTCATCGAGTGTCCCTAATCCTCAAGTGGCTCTTTCTAATACTTTTAATTAGCGAGTAGCGAGAATATCGTTCATCGTTTCCGCGGAACAGTTTCATCTTTCCCATTCACTTTTCCATAGTTACAGGCATTAAAATTTGAATTTGTACCGTGTGTCGTCTTCGGCTCGCCAAGCGCGCTCGAGCACACGCGATCACGGTCTAGTGGAACAAGATAAATATCGATCGATGCTAGTGCTCGAGTTCGCGCGAACGATCGACGGTCGCGCATACGATTAGCGTCTGCGTTGACTGTACAAAATTATAACTATACGTAGCTCTAGTTACATACATACAGAGACAGTATACACCACATAGGTACATACGCGATCGAATGTGTATTCAAGCAACTGGGACAAGCGACGGTATACGGGCGTCGAATGGCAATGTTAGTCGAATACGCGAATAAACCGCTTTATTCGCGACCTTTACGCAACTTACTCGTCGTATATTCGTTATTCGAAATTTTCTATCTAGATAAAAATTCCGTCGAATGCGTTCTTCGTATTCGATTCGCACCGTGCACCCGTTGACCCCGGATCTTTGGTACACATTAACACACATCGTATCGACGCAACGTTCTAATTTGACACAAACACATATGTATAATAGTTAGTTATATGTATACATAAGTTCTTGCACATTAAGATTAAAAATGACAACAACGATAATGATTATTACGACAGTATGTAGGATCAAGCGATAATTCTATTAATACAATAGGTACGTGGCGCGAGAAACTTCACCATGCTCCTTCTCCAATTGCGGCTATTATCGGGTGATTCTGGTCTGTTTACAAAGAAACGTAGAAAACAATTGGCCCGTATCGTCGAGTCGGGCCGACAGGAACGTAATTCACCAGTATCGTTCGGAACTAACAACCATTAACTAGGAATCGATCTCGTTTTAAGGTACCGTTTCGCGAGCATATTTCTAACGCGAGACGACTTGAAAAATCTATTTATCGAACCGAACCAGTCTCACCACTGGTAAATAATTTCCTGCTAAGCTCGGAAGTACTATTTTCCTATTTGAGAATGTTTTCGAGTCGTGTCATTTTAGAAATACAAGCGCAGTTTGTCGGAAGTCGAAGAGCGCAACTCCCAACGTCGTCTCGGACGTATCTTTCAATTTATTTTCAGATTTCTCCGCTTTGATCCGCTTGGGCCCCGAGGCGGTCTACGCTCGACGACGAGCAGTGTATACAAAACTCGGATAGGATACTTTGCTTCTCGTTACGCTACTAAATTCTTGAATTAAATCCGATTATCTAAGCAACAGATCGACATCGAGCAAACAGAACCGACGAGCGTACCGTGCTATGGATTGGCTCAGCTGTCAAACGATCATTCTCGGTGGCCACGATGGAGCGGACACTCGACGGAACATACGAACACCGAAACAATAGACAGCAACATGACACGCATTACTGCTGTGTACATTGTAATCATTTTTATGTTACTCGTTAACGAGACGCGTCGAATCGTCATCAGACTGCGGATAATGTTCGCTCGAACAAGCCGAAGTTTAGGATAAAAAGTGCTCTTATCTTTAGAGTATGACGAAGCCGAATTTTTCGCTTTGCATCATTCATATATCACGAATATTTTTTCCTCGAAAGTGTATGCAAACACGTATATTTTACTTACACGTTTGTGGAAATGTATACTCCTATGCGTAAAAAGGCTGAACTTGGATAAAAGTTAGCATCGTCGTTAGAAGATAACAAAAATGTATCTTACGGTTTGCATAATTCATGTGCCTCGAATATTTCTGCTTTGGGAACGTGTGCGAACATACGTTGTATATTTTACTTATGTGTTTACGCAGTCGCACACTTTTACGCGCAAAGAAGCTGAGCTTGGCTTAAAGTTCGTATCGTCAGAAGATGACAAAAAATTTACCTTTCACGTTGCATAACGGCATGTGTCCTTAATATTTTCTTTTGGTAATGTATGCAAATATCCATTTCTATATCGTACTTATTTCTGCCGCATATTCTATCGAATATTTGATCAAATCTGTTACACGAAAGCTGGTTTAAAATAGCTGACATTCAAGTCACACAAGTTATAATAGTCTAAATTCGAGCACATTTCAACCGCAGTCTGTCTCTTCGATTGTAACAAACGTCCTCTCGATCCAGTGATGTAGTCGCGTGGCTATGTATTGTAATCTTTAAGTATAGAAAGCTCGTGTTACCTCTTGGGTAATTGGTCCTTCGTCGATAGACTGTTTATACGAGTAGAAGTAAATTCGTGTAGCGTTTCGACGTTTCGACGCGTCGGTACGCTCGTGCGCCGTCAGAAAGCTGCTGCGACTCTTTACAAGATCTTCGTCTCTCTATATAATTTTATACCGAGGGTGGGATTCTCTATATACAACAATACCTGGGGGATCCGTGATGGGTTTTGCTTTTTGCCGGGGTACGAGGTCGAGGTCTGCTGACCTCTGTCGCCGTGCTTCGACAATGGTCACGCGTCGAAATCAATTAGCGTCTATCGAAAAACGAACGAAACAAAAAACTGACTTTCCTGAGAACAAAGAAGAATCGCAGAGACGTATCTCCTTGCGAATTGCATCGAAGGAAATGATAAACAAGAATGTCGGCTCGTAGGTGGCAGAAATGAGCAGAATTTTTGAAGAAAGATAGATGACGAATAGAAACTCTGTTTAATTGGAAATATTTGATCCGTGTGAGAAATTTGTCAATCTCTGGTACGACAGGCGTGACGAGAGATCGAAACGTTCCGGTGAAACGAGCTCGAGATGTTTTTCTAACATCATGTAACAGGGCGAGAGCGTGCTATCAGGAAAAGGAAGTGGGGTGGAAAATGGTTCTCGAAAGCTTGAACGTGAATAACGAGTGAAAACTGTGAGGATGAATCCGGAATCTTTGGAAAGAATGTGGCGAAAGTATAGAGGTGTGGGTTGGTTCTCTGGACAGAAATGTTCCCTTCTACAAAATGACGAATCGCTGTTTGCCGACTCCGATACCTTCTACTTTATCGTGATAGTCTCTAAATCTATGCACAGGGTGGGTCGATATCAATTGTCGCGTGAAATAACATGTCGGTACATGTTATGTTAAAATTACAAAGAATTTGTTGTATTTGTGGAGTTTGCTCGGCTGCTGGTTGGTAGTCAGGAATCGGATAACAGGGTTCGATCACGCGCGAAGATACACGACCAGGGTGTCTATTGACGCTGCTCAACGAGAGGACTTCCGTCGTCGATATCGCCCGACTCCGAAGAAAGGACACCCAGGCGTGGACAGCGGAAAAATCCAAGCAGTAGATCAGGGTTGACGCATTGATTCCTTTGCCGTAAAATTGTAGAACTTGCTTTCCCTCGCGATAGTTGAGAGGACGTTTCGAAATAAATCTTCTCGATCGAAAACAGAACTAGTGCTCGTAAACAAATATTGCCAAGACTTCATCTTCTAAAATGCTAAAACAGTTATGTTTTCGGTAAGCACGCAAAAGTCAAAGAAATTATTCTTCGCGTCCCTTGGTCTTTTCTTGCGAAACGGTCTTGGGAAACGAATGAAAGCGAAACGAGGGCAATTTTGGGACAGCCAGCGTTCCGTAGACGATATTCGCACAAATCACCTTTGCCTGCCCCCTCCCTTTTGTGCTCCGAAAAACCCAGAGGTGCGTTACGTTACAGAGTTGGTCGTCAGGGTGTTGGAACAGCGAATGGATGCCCTACCCGGAAGAGGGAGAGTGCGAACGATGTCGTCTCCGTCCTTCCTGGCTCTGAGAAAAGCGTCCTGGACTGACCCAATGGAACAATGACGCGTAGCGGCCTCGACTCGATGAAATTTGCATGGCCGAGGACCAGACATAAATCAGAGAACCATTGAAACGCACAGAGACGATTCGAGAGGAGCGAGAGAAGAAGAGCCGAATGGCTAGAAGACTAGGTCCTGGCCACCGGCTGCGAATTTTCGGCACGCGGGGGTATATCATTGCGAAAACTGGTTCGCGCGAAACAGACGTCCGACCCTAGGACAAAAGAATCCTAGAGGGAACGCACGAAACCGGCTGCTCGTCAGAAAAAAGACGGAAATCGGAGTAGCCGAAGATGGTGGGCCGATTATGCATGAGAATGAGGATCGAGGAGAGAGGATGGTTCTTCTGCCTCCAATCCGAGTTATTGTGCGGATTGATGCGAATCGACGATTTCATATTCACGCATCAGGAACGCGTATCGCCTTACACTACTGGTTTTTTGCGAAGGGCGAATATGCAAATGAAACGATCCTCAAGGAATCGTGATGGGACTTTGGTGTTCTTGTTTTTAACACGTTCACGGTTGCGACGTCATTTTTGGATGTTCCAAGGAAAGGATGCGTCATCTCGAGCTCGCTCAGTGATTCGCTAGTCGATCGGTGACAAGAAACGTGTTTGAGTGTGTTTGTACATGTATTTAACAAAACTTGTTCGTTCGGTATCTTTACAAAGGGGTGGAGAATAGATAACAACGCGGCGCGCAACCGCCCGTGAGGTATCACATATATACATATATAAAATAAATACAAGTAAGAGAAAAGTGAAATGAATCGAAAGTAACAAAAGAGGCAAAAATCAAAGAAAAAAACGAAAATAAATGGTCGACAACTCGTTAAATCGGCAAAGTGCGAGAGCGACAGAGGACCGACGAACCGATGTCACTCCCCCCCGCTACTTTTACTGTCAGAGGAACTTGTATACCAGTTACATTCATTCCGTAGCTTCTCTTTTTTATTTATTTCGATTTCCGCTCGCCACATTTATACGCATTCGCGCACACCTCCGGAATCAAACACACGCTCATTCACTCACGCACGCACCGGCAAGCTCGGCTCTTTTCTCTTTATCGATACCTATCTAATTAATATCTATCTATCTATCTATCTATCTATTAATCGTCACGGCTCTCGAAATGAAACACGCGGAACTACAACGACTAACTAAATACACATCTTTATCCTTTCCGTTTTTTTCCATTGTCGCGAAACTATATACAACGAAGATCATCCCCTGGAAAAGAAAACCTGGAGAGGTTTCCTCTATATCTTTCTCGTTTTGAAACCCTATCTATACTCGTATCGTGCATGTGTGTGTATATATATATATATATATATATATATTTCTGTATAGATATATATATAATATTAATTTTTGACAAAAAAGAAATCGCGTCCCTGAATTTGTTTGTTCATGTTTAAATTACACGTTTCACAGAATGCTCAATAGACCCGCCATTCACTTTCGTCGACTCGTATCTCTTTCATAGGTACAGTAATAATAATAATCATCTATATAATATAATATATATATATATATATCTATAAAAAGCATCTTAACAATAGTGACTGTGAACCGGTGCTTGAAGGATTTTTTTAGTGAGGATTCTGTGTGAGCTGCGAGGGTTCTAGCCTACTACCCAAAAGCAAACGAGAAACATGTTTTCAACGATACCTTCCGTGCGCGTCCTTCGACACGTTCGAGTTGGAACGCGTCGTTGGAGATCCGTTTATCCTTGGGTAGACGCGTCGAACCCAGTGAAAGTACAGGATTTGCTTTCTTTTGTGGCTTTTTTCTCTCTTTCTACGTAGCTGTGTCTACGTACCCCTAGAGACACCACTAGGACGCGTGTCCGACATTGGCCGGGGTTGGGTTTCCAAGGGACGCGAGGTGGTGAACGTATTGGTTGCGATGATTCTGAAGGAAGAGGCTGCTGGGGCTCGCTTCGGAGACGTCCAGCTCGTCCTCGTCCTCCTCGTGGATGGTGTCGCTGCTCGGACTGCGACTCATAGGCGAGTCGCCGCTGCTGTGCGAGTGCGAGTGAGGCCTGTGCATACCCGTGGACATGGACAGATCTTCCGGTTCCGTTTGCTCGGGAAGATCCACGGGGATACCGGAGAGATTCAACGGCATGGGCATCGAAGTGCCAACCACTGGGCTGGGCAGCTGACGGTGAGCAGGTCTGACAGGCGTCAAGGGTTTCTTAGCCGGCAACGGCGTCGTCTCAGGTACCTCCATTTCCACGTCGATGTCGATGTCGATGTCCTCGTCCAAGTCGTCGCTAGCCAGCGACGGGGAGGCTACCTGCGACCTGGGTATCTGGCCAGCAGCGTTCGCCACCGTGCCGCACTTGTGATGCATCAGGTGGTGCCTCCTTCTGAAACGCATCTGACAGTGCTCGCACTCGAACGGTTTCTCGCCCTTGTGGATCAGGAGATGAGCCTTCAGCTGATTGGAGTCGCTGAACTTTGCCGAGCACAGTTCGCAAGCGTACGGACGCTCGCCGGTGTGGACGCGCAAATGGCGACGCAGGTTAGCAACTTGAACAAACTGTCTGTCGCAGTGGCTACAGTGGTACGGCTTCTCGCCAGTGTGTAATCGCATATGGGTCTTTAGGTGGTGATCCCGAGTGAATCTGCAACAAGCAATTGAGAATTCTTTGAGCGCGCGTTAGAAGAATATTTCCCTAGAAAATTCTCAAAGTTGACCCTTGAAATTCTTTCGAGGGATCATGCAAAATCCGTCGACTCAACTCCGAACTTACCTTTTGTGGCATTCCGGGCACTCGAACGGTTTCTCTCCGGTGTGGGTGCGCTCGTGATTCTGCAGCACGTGTTTGTAACCAAAGGATCTCGAGCATACTCCGCAGGTGAAGACCTTGTCCCTGCCGTCTTTGCCCGCCTCGGGGCTGACCGAGGTGGGTGGACTGAGAGGTCCTGAACCCTCAACCGTCGCTTGCACGCTCTCCGTTTTCGACTTGGTGCTTTTTCGCTTGTTGGCTTGGCCTTTCTTCGTAACTCGATCGGCGCTGCTGCTTACCACGTTGTTGTTATTGTTGTTGTTGTTGTTGTTCGCGGAGGCGCTGTTGGCTCGCCTGGACGTGGACTTGGTGCTCAAGGCCGGGGACACTGGTCCAGGCGAGTGATGAACAGGCGACGGTGGCGAGGAGGCTGCTGGTGGCGCCCAACCGCCAAACAACGTCTGATGGTGTCTGTACAAGGATGGACTGGCCGCTAAGGTAGCGTGCAACGACACGGGGATTCCTGCGGCCATCAAGGCCGCGGTTCGACTGGCCGCCAAAAGCTGCTGCGGGGTAAGCATCGAGAGTCCCGCGGTTGCGTTTCCCATTCCAGGGAACAACACTGGTGACGTGTTGTTATTCAGCGGAGGAGAGACCGGTTGCTTTTCGGAATCTTGCTTCATGTCGAGATGCTGGCTGGTCAAGAGTCCTGAAACACGAAAGAGGCGTTCGTTCAAGACTGGAAAATTAATGGTAAAAAATTAGAATCCAGGAAAAATTATATCTTTCTTCGATCGAATTTTCTCCAGACGTTGAAAACATTTTAATTCAACGTTGAGTATACACCGAGTTAACTAAATTTTCAGCGATCCAATACAAAGTCACCAGTTCCAGCATCACGCGACACTACTGTCCAAAGGAGATGCGATCCTGATTGATGCTGGAGAGCTGGTGACTTTCTTCTAAAAGTGCAAGAATCTATTTCACCTTGTGCTCGGAGAAAAACGTTCAAACCTCGAAGGGTATAGAAGCGTCTCACGAAGACGCGTCGTATTTTGCAACAAATCGCGTTGTGTAACCCGAGGGTCCAGGCTAGGGATCCGCGAGGACGACGCGACGCCGACGTGTAAAAAGGACGAATCCACGTGCACCGTATGCGAATCGCGCGACGGTATTCGACGATCGTTCTCCTCCCGCGTGTGCGTCTTGTCTCTCCGTTCCTCTCGATCCCTCTACCGTACGTTGTGTTTGCTCCCCGTCCCTCCCACACACGTCGCTCACACGTGAGGTTCTCTCGTTCCTCCTCCATTCACTCACACTCCCGTACGCGCCGGTTCATTCATAAGGCTCGTCTTCCCACCCACGTCACCACCGCGCCGTGTACCGCCTCTCTTCAACTTGAGGCCAACGACTCCGCGAAACCGCGCACCACGTCGACGCGGAACACGCTTTTTCGCGAATTTTCCGCCTGCCCGCCCGAATCTTGGACACCTTCCTCGGCTCATCTCATCGATGGAGAGCTCAACAAGTTAACCTTTGGACGAATACGCGATGCTTTGGTGCGCAAAGTGTGCTGTGGGATCACGAACGCGCAGTTAAATAGCAATTCGAGTCATTCTTTCGTAGCCTTATTTTCTTTACTCCTTATTACAAGATAGAAACAAGTATTATATACGTATAGCAAGCAATTCTTGCAAAGTTTACCGAGAACGTTGTACAGCGATTTGCTCGCCAAATCTCATCCCCATCATTCCCTATCTCTCCACGCCGAACCCGCTACCTCTGGGATCTTATAAAACTTGTTGAGCTATACCATTGGTGAATCGTCTCGAGTCCGCGCGAAATTAAATCGAGCGTGAAGAGTGAAAATACGCGAATACGCTGCCTCGAAGGGTGGAACGGTTATTTTTTTCTCCAAAGAGTCTTGCGTCGAGAATAACTTGTAGGCGTGGGTTCGGGGCCATGCAGCAGCAGCAGTATTTTTTTTCGAAAAAGAGCTGCCCCGCCTATTAGGGTTGCACCTTCCGATGATTGCTCATCCGCGTGACTGACGTCACAGGGAGACCGCGTAATTAAATTAACCGTGGATCCACTTAGGAGATTATTAAAACCAGCGCTTTCGGTTCAGGAGGGGAACGCGTCGTTTTTTCGTCAACCATATCGTGGCATCTGAAGCTTGTTGGTTTTAGAAACCATTAATGTATTTTCGACTGGTCCATGTACCGATGTACCGATCACTGAAACCAACGATCAAGTGCAATTTGCTCGCGCCATTGCCAAGTCTACTCGCGGGTATAAATGTCGTTCGCAATTTGGAAAAATGGATCTCGCGTTGTATCGGTTTCAGCGACGAGAGGGTTTAATTTAAGAAAACAATGAATCAAGCGGCCATGTTCGCCTAGGCACTTACTAATTAATGGACCGTTTTGAAGAGGGGCCGTAATGAGACCCGTCGAATCAATAAGGGCGCGTAAGATCTCCTATTCTCTTTCTTTTCTGCCCTAAGACTCCCTCGCTAGGATTCTTACAGCCTACAATCGCCGTTTCCCGGCAACACGACGAGTACCGCCCTCCCCCGCTCGCATCCCTTCTCTAATTGGTCGCAACCCCGATATTCCCTTTGAATCCCTTTCCTTTCTCGGTAAGACTTTCTTCTTTCCTTCCACCGCGTTCATCTTCACGCGATCCTCGAGAAACTTATTTACATTCCGAATTTTACCGTCTTCGTCACTTTTGTCGCCGATGTAAAGCAAAACAAAGTAAAGAAGCCAGAGGCTGAGACGATGATTCGATTTATGTGCAAGATGATCGAAGAAAGCAACACGAATCTGTCCTCAAGTTTTCTTAAATAAATTTAAATCATTTCATTTGTACGTAATGTATTTACGCGAAACTTGCTACGCGTCTATGTGTACCCATACGCAGTGGTTTACAAGCCTTGCAAGTATAACTAGTTTCGCCGCGCTTTCCTTTAGAGGAGCACACTGTGAACAATCTACTGGGATTTCCTCTTATCCCTGTAGATGTCATTTTCTCTACTTTCCATAGTATGGTTCGAAAGTTGTATCTCTTCTAGGAGCTAAACGTGTTTTTTTAAACTAAACCCGCGTCCCGCGATCCTGAAATTTTACAGCTTCTCTTATCAGAAAAAAGGAATCGAGAGAAACTTTGGCAATAAGAACGAATTATCCGTGCGATGCAAATTCTTCTTACGAGAGTCTTCCGAAGTCTTTCCCGAGTTCTTCATGATTCAAAGATGTTAACCCTGCTCGCGGCCGGTCAACAAGCGCGTGTGGCTCTAGCGAGCACCGGGAGGCATTGTTTATACCCTGGCGGAATGGCTACGCAGAGACGCAGACGTCAGAGAGCGCACTTCGCGGTTCCTAATTCCCAGAGCGATCGCGGTATTTTTAGACGTTCGTCGCAACCGCGAAACTCGTCGTCGAGGCTCATTTTCCCCGGCTGGCGCGCCTTCCGTCAAGCAATTTCACGTCTTTCTGGCTTATCGATGTTTACAATGTGTCACAACACGCGAGCGTGTCGCCGCGGGCGCATTTAGACTTTGGCGCCGAGCCAACTTCCCAAACGCGTCCCCCCCACCCCCCCACCCCATAGCCGCTGCTCGAAAAACACGAAAATCTTTGCTGCTTTCCTCCGCGTTCGTCGAATAACACCGTGACCGATCGTTTCGCTCGATCTGGAACCGTGACGAGAAACAACGAGTCGCCTATGTCGAATTGAAACAATCGGGGAGCAGCGATCGCGGTTTGTTACCCCCCTCGAGGAACAATCGACGATTGAACGAATTCCTTCGGAACTAGATCAGCCTGACCATCGCGGAAAGTGAAGTCAGCGCGATGCAATCGCGAATCGACTCCATCGAGCTTTTGAAGAGATGTCGACGTAGATAGAAATTGGGATGGAAAAATGGGAATGCGATTATGTTAAAACGACAATTGGAATATTTTCGTTTAGTGGAAATTAGAATCCGAATTGCAAAATGAAACTACATGTGACGTTGCATTGATAACAACTCGCGGTTGCCAATCTACTCGATCGATGTATGTATACGATCCTCAACGTTTCGGACTCTGAGTCATTCGCGCTACAGATTCTAAAAGCAATCTGTGGATTGACAGAATCCAAAGAAGGCTATTTCGCACGCAAATTTTAGCCTTCGTTCTAATCTCCGCGACGATCCAATCGAATAAACGTCATGTATCGTTAATCGTTAGGTTTATTCGAGCTATCTATACGAGATATGCGAGACTCGTCGAGACCTACCTGCGTTAATCTGGGCCTCTTGAAGGTAAGACAGTGCCATTCTACGATCCGTGGTGCGTGTTTTCACTTTGACACTCCATCCACTTCGGTGCACAATGCGATCACTTCCGTGTAGATAATAGCAAAGATGCGCGGGCAAACGCTCGTTTGACGCGGCACTGCACAAAACAGCGTGGTCGAAGGGAAACGGAAAGGTGATGTGTCTTTCTTTTGGAACTTTCTCTCCGACGCGACGCGACGAGACGATTCGATCCTTGGAGAGGGAAAGCGCGAACCACGCGGGAACCACTCTACGTTTTGATTAACGAACGTCCCGCGCCTACGACAGAATCAACCGACACCGAGACGAGTTTTCCGTCGCGAATCGAACCGAGAGACGAAACAAAACGAAATAAAAGTAAAAACGAGGTATCGTGAAAACGTGTTACTACTCTACTATAAACAACAAACGTCGTCGTCCGACCACGAGGAGCGACGACGATCAACGACGTTGCTCTGGGCTGACCTAACCCAATACTAACTGACAATCGAGTCGCGCTCACTGTAGTCAAACATCCCCCACTCCGTTTGCGAGCGCTCCCACCTAACCGACGCTGATTCCCCACCATCGCGCCGGTTTTCTACCCTCTCGAATCGCAACCCCGGATGCGCGAGTCGCAGAAGCAAGCCTTGTTGGGGGTTGAAGCGACCAGTCGTGCGCTGAACGGAGATAGACGAACGGAAGACGTCGACGAGTGTGCGAGAGGGAAGATACAATGACCGTGGAAGTAGGACGAGGACGGAAAGAGAAGGAGAACGATGGGGTGGAAGTCGAGACAGGGTGAACCTGCGACCGTGATCTTTAAGGGTGGGGGTTTGCGAGTGTAGCGAAGACTATCTTGCATCCCTTGTGCCGGGATGGACGAGGATGGCCACATAAGGCGGGTAATCGGTGAAACCTGCGAGAGGAAAGATAGGGAGTGTATCGGACGTAAGCCGAAGGGAAGCTGGGAAGCTGGTTGACGGTATTTCGCGACTATAAACCGGGTACGCGCATCGCATCACTCCTTGAAATTGCGCGAAACAAGAATGATAACAATGACTGGGGATGTAAAAGAAGATTGTTACAGACGTCGATCCTCTCCGTCGGTCTGCTAATGTGTATTCGCGTGATTCATGGTTTTGTTTAATGAATAATAGGATCGATGATTATATGAAACATTCCTCAAAAACTATTTAGAATATAGAAAAATTAAAATGAAATCTTACCGTGTAACATTCATATTCACGTATTCTGTAATCATCACCTATTTTATTCTCTTATTTACAGTTCTCGTCGAGCCTCCTTTCTCATCGTTCTCCTTCGTCTTCGCTACCGTTGATTTCATAAATTCTGCATTCTGTTTCTTTCGACCTTCGAAGAGACCACCTGGCGCGCATGCATTATCCAACGTGAGTTTCTTTTGCACGTATTCACGATTCGTTTAATTTTCGCCGTTTCGTCTTCATCGCGGGTCTTGTGCACGTGTACGCTCGGTGAAACTGTAACTCTGAATATTTCACAGCCGGTCGATAGGGATTGCGTCGCGAAGTACGTTGTCAACGCAAACCGTTCCGTCTCCTTTGAAACGGTCGCTAGAATATACACCGGATCGTTAAATATGCAGCACACGGTGCATCCGTTGATTATGTCTTTGAACCTGCACGAATCAAGCGACGCTATCGAAAATAGAGAAGGTCAACAGTCTTGACTGTCTGGCCCAATAAAAAAATCAGGCTACCGTTCGTTTCGTCCATTCACAATTGCTCGACGTTGCGCGTTCCGCTTCCACGGGTGCACGAAATTCGCACATTTTTTTTTTTTTTTCAAACAGATCAAACGAATTTCGAACAATGCAATTTACGCACAGTGCACAGCGGTATCGTGGATCGTGCGTCAACGAGGAAATTTCACGAGTCACCCGCGACTTCCGGTTACGATAACGCGCGCGCTGCGGCACAATAGCCCCAGAGAGAACACAGGGCTCCCACTGTTTTTTCGAAAAACGAATTCAGTCGAAAACGTCGCTCCCCCCTTCTGCTCGCCCCGTAATACTCTGGGGTGGTTTTTTTTCGGGGGTGAAAAGTACGAGACGTCTTTTCTCTCTCTATTTGTTTCTCTCCGTCTCTCTTTTGCTCTTTCTCTCACCTGCCCCGGTGCTCAGGCGTGCGCGTGCCTGCAGCCGAAAACTTATGGTACCCGTGCCTGATAAAAAAGTGAAAGAATGCCCCTGAGTCGGGGCGCGTGTAACCTTTGCGGAGCGCGTGCGAGCGAGACGGAGAGCTAGGCTCGCGCCGTCGACACGCGTTTCCACGTACGTGTACAGTGAGCCACAGAAGTGTGGATTTTCCCCAATTGCTGACTTTTAAAATAGTTTAATAGTTTTTAATGCGGTCATTGGAGGCATCGTGGAGAAAGTGGGTTGTTTGAGATTTGTTAAATCGGGAATACTCGATAGCGAGTAAGTGGGGTGCCCTGTAAAGGAATCCTAATGGGTGTCCTGAAAGGATATCAACAGTGTGAAGTCGGTAGGGGAGAGAGAATACTTTTGTGACTCACTGTACACACGTGCTGGTGTGTCCGTGGAGCACCGATACGCTTCGCGAGAGCGCGCTCTCCATCCTGTCATCCCGTTTGTCCTTTGGATAGAGACCACGAGATCAGAGATACTGGAGGGATGAGAAAAGGGAACAGTGTCCTGGCGTCGGGGAATCGAATAGCAAAATCGCGGTCCGACGAATTAGTAGACTCGTTGATCAACAACGGGAGCTCTCCCTTGTGTATTCTTTTTTTTTTCTTTTTCTTTTAAATGGTGAATGTTTCTTTGGATCGCAGAGTTCTCTATTGCAGAAGGTTCTTGTTCAAAGTTAGTTGTAAATTTGTAAATTGTATGGGGTGTGTTTCGGTTTTTCAAAGTCGAAGCGGTTACGGAGAGTATTCGAATGGTTGCTGTAGACCAAGTATGAGCTAAACTTTATTTAAATAATAAATGACGACGGATACAATGTACAATATGCGTGTACGAGGTGGGGGTAATTGATTTCTTAGAACGGATTTAGCGTTGCGAAAACGAGAATTTAATGGGTCGATAGAATTTAAAATGTATTCTATCGACGGGACGACGAAGAGGCGGGACAAATGAAGAGATTGAGTACAGGGCAGTAAGTACTTCCGTATACAAGCTTGACAAAATATTGTGAAAAAGCGCACAGGTATAGGGTCGGCTTTTATATAAATCGCGAGGATCGCTATATAGAGGGATCCGCCCGATATAAGTTGGACAGCATTGAATTTTGCGCGTTATGTCATCGTTCCCCTCAACCTTCCGCTCCTTAATCTATTTGTCATTTACTATTATTGTTCTTCCTCTTTTCCTCATAATTTTACCTACTTACTACATAAATATTCCATCTATCAGAAGTCTATTAGAGGTATAGTAGAATTACTTTATTCTTATTCTGAAATTTAATATTTTTTTGTTGGAAAATCCAAGTGTACAATTTTTAATCAGCTTTCCCCTTCTTTAGTCTTTCGAATCTTAATCCTTCCCTTCGAAATGCAAATGGTTTTCGCGGTGCGGGTTACGCAATCGTAATCTTTGAAACAAAAAGGGGTAAACAGTGAAAAACAGGAACGTTTTTTTACGTGCTCGAGTATGCTACTGGCTCGCAGACGCAAGGAAAAACTGTTGACAATGGCCAGATTATTGGCAATTATTACGATACTTAACCCTTGGGTGTTGGACGTAAAAGCGTGAGTCTCTACCTGGTGCAGAACCCATTGTGTAGCAGATGAGGCTTGTAACCCTTTCAGACGCCCTTCGCATACCTGCCACGAACGCGTTCCTCCTCGGTGAAGTGGCAGAGAGTTAAATGTCGGTCATTTGTCACAGTGAACCCGTTAATACGGAGTTGTGCCCCTTTTACCTGTACCTTGCCTCAGCATCTTTCGTACATTCAATTTTTACACATAAACATTTCCACAAAATGTTAGAGTTTACGACTAACGAGTTACAAATCAAAGGAGGAAGGTAGAAAAGCCCAGATTGAGGGCGAGGACTGACCTTAAAAATATGCTCGAAAATAGTCTAACGACTGGATAATATTTTGCAGGACAGTAAAACGGTTCGTAGGGTTGTCAAACCGTCCGCGCTATACGATCAGTTCAATGTCGTAGGAGGTTGTTAGGGCTGTCTGTTGGTCTCCAACCCGGAAGAAACGTTCTGCTCTCCCTGGCGTTCTCTATTACGGTCGTATACGAAACGACGAATGTGCAACAAGAGTGGTACCGACACTTAAAATTAGGATTGCTCCAGTTTCGCAACAAAGGGGGCCAGTAAAGGTCTGGGGGTCGTTCGCTGTCGCATTTCTTGTTCCCAGGCGGTGTTTACCGAGCAGACTTATTGGGGGTTGTTCGTACTTTTATAATTTTACTGCTGAAATTATCAGGTACGAAAATACTGAGGGCTTCGGGTCGTTAACCAGTGACGCTTCGACGGGGAAAAGACACCTCTCCCGCCGGCACACGCAAAACGAAATTAGATTTCTAATAATTTCGCCTTGTGCCCAGATAATATTGCACAGTTTTATGTGCTTGCCCGTATAATGATGATTTTTAGAACGACCAACGACCGGTTTACTTTTTCAAGTACAAAAATTTGACCTGCGAAAATTGAATTTGCATGGTAGGTTTTTCTTGACCATTTATTTAGAATAAATATAGAGGTGTACCAATTTGGACAGTTTACTTCCCTGCCAAATATGTTTCCCGCGGAAACGTTTCGAAATTTTTTGTCGCCTTTTTTTACAAGCAAACGGAAACTGCAACGGAAAGTTCGATACTCGTGCCGGTTCAATTTATGCAAACCAATCTAGCTTGAAATCTGCCCATTGTACGTAGGGAGCGCTTTACGTAGGACGCGGTGCTACAGATTAAATCGATATCTTGATCTGCGGTCGACGAGCAGCAACCGTTGGTCACAGGTTTAGCCACAAAGAACCAACGAAGCTGGCACCGAAAATTTTTGCGTCTCTGGTTCTCAAGTGGACGCACTTTTTTCCCGTTGGGTGACCGTTACGACGGATAAGAATCTCGCGACCGAGCTTTTCCACGTATTTAAATATGCCTACTATGGTAATCGAGACTTTGAATGTTCGTTTTCTGACGTCGATTCCAGCGCGATCAAAATCTCCGACTACATCTGCTCGGCGAGAGAAAGATTACTGCGTTTTCTTTTTTATAAAACTTTCCTTTCCGCGTGCAACGACTCCTTGCAACGGTCAGGGACCACCTGTATTTTTTTCAAGTACGAATCTCGACTTGGAATGAAATATGTGGGTCTTGAAATTCTGCGATCGTTCCAAATCTAGGAGATTCTGGAAGATTCAGACCCTCGCGTGATTTCCTGGCGTTTTCAGTTTAAATTCCGTTGCAAATTAAAACGGACCTCCTAGCGAAATTCCGAAGGCACTCGCACGATGCGAGAAAAAGCAGGGCCTTGGAAAAAATGAACCAGACGACGATCTCCTAGACCAGCTGGTGTCTCGAGCCTCATCCCGAGCCTCATCCCGAGCCTATTCGCACACCACATGTTCGCCAGTGGGCGAGCACGAAATTAATACAGGATCGCTATTATTAGCTCTGGTCATTAGGCGGTATCGGAACTGGATAATTAGACGACTCTATAACAAGCCTGCGTTAAACTATCGATAATAAGTAGATAGGACACAATACGTGTTGTGTCACGCGTAAATCTCGTTATCGCAATATCTAAGGTTCAAGTAAACACGCCATGGCGCCTATGTCTCTTATAAAACGCAGCAATTGTTTCGACGCGCATGACGCCGAAGCTATCGCTTTGGTTTTTCTACGGAGGACTTTAGACGTCCGACTTGTTCATAATCGGGGACATTTTACTTTGTCTGTGCACCATGTATTCATCAATGGGCTCCCATTAGAGCGCTCTTAAATATTTATTCGAATGAATAGCTCGTTTCGATGAGCAAACGGAAGGGACGTCGTCTATCGTACTCTAATCGTATTGTTAGTATCGAAACGTGGCTATGATTTGTGAAGCATCCTTGTGCAAACTTTCGTTACACTGACCTGGCATTAATTAAAAACCAC